TTTGTTCCGCTGCGATTTTTGTGTGGGATTGAAGCGGCGCACAGAAGGAGGAGCGGAGTGGGAAGGTGCAGGGGAAGTCTGCCGCGTAGATAAGGAAGAGGCCTGGCGATGGACAGGGGACAGAGAAGCGGCGGGGTTGACCGGGGTGACACTGATCAGAGGACAATCCCAAATAGAGGCAGAGAGAGATCTGACAGAATGGCAGGCGGATCCCAAATCGTCCTGGAGGCTCGACAGTTGAGCACATCCCTCATAAAAACAACTAATCACTATTAATCACTTCTAATCTACTTATTCTCACAGTTCAAACATATTCATTTCTCACACGAGGCCTGGGAAATCTAATCAACCCATGAGTACAGACTTTTATGGTCTTGCGTGTGTTGGTGTGTGAGAACTGTATTGTTTATTGTGCAGACAGGATACGCAGTTTTCCCGGGAAAAGACGTGGCCAGGAAGTGCAGCACTTCACAGAAAAACACACAGCAGACAGTGTGTGCAGACTTTGGTAACACCAACAGCACGCCTTTGGGAAGTTCAGGTTCTTTGGCCTGATTCACTATCGAGTGCGGTCAATAAAAACAAGTCCCCTGCCTCCCCACACTGCTACAACAAGCAGGAATATTGAACAGGAAGAGAATCAGGTTCGTCAATATGGTTACTGAGGTAAAGTCTTATTTTACAGACGTAAGGAAGACAAGAGACGTCAACACACGTCAATGATCATTGAGCCTATATGAGACGATTAACATCCGGTTGACAATCTCTCAGAGTATTTTCCCCAGATTGAATTCACCAGACAGATTACAAGACTAGATTAAGGGTGGCGGGAGGGGAGAGGGACAGATGAAGCGAGAGAAGGATGGAAACAGACTCAGGAATTTACCGGAGAGAATACTGACCCACAGGAGGGGGAAGGGAGTGCGGTGGGTTTAGAGCGAAGGCTGGATTAGGAAGTGAAGTGGGAAACCAGGATGTTTCTCGAGGAAAGTAGCTTCGGTTCAGATTACTTGGAAATCACAGAAATCTCTTATCTATTGCACCCAACTAATCACCCCCGCCGATGTGACTGCCCAGTCTTATCTTTCATCTCTCAAACACTCACTCGCGCACATACGTGGAAGGCAAACAGACGCTCCAACCTACATACGTTTGTTTTTTTCTTAATTCAATTCCTCCCCTTTCACGGCCCGAGTTCTCAGACTGGCTCGACCACTTCCACCGCTGCAGCAAGACACTCAAGAGGGGAGAAGCACACATGGACAGACAAGTGAAAAGACCAGGAAGAGGCGAAGAAAAAGAAACAGGTTCGGTGGGAAGACTAGAGTGGCCTTTCATAAGGAGGTAGAAGAAGGAAGCTTTAAGGGAAAGGACTGAGAGAGAGAGAGAAAAAAAAAGCATGAAGGAAAGGGCAAAGTGCCTTGTGACGGATCGCCATGGGTGCCAAGAACGATAAAAAAATTCCACACCTCTTAGCATGCTTCCCTCCTTCCCCCCTTCTCCGAGAGCCAGAGTTGGAGGTGAGGAAATAATAGACTGAAAAGGGACAGCTTGTAAAGTTGAGATAAAAGCTGGTGAAGGAGCGAAGGGGACCGAAAAGACAGGAGGGGGAAGAAGTTTTCCCAGAGGCAGAGCCACGGCCGTGTGAAGAGGGGCCGGCCTGAGTGGCAGCCAGTATTCAGGGACCTCCGCCGTGACAGAATGACTGACAGACTGATAGAGGCCGTGCCACTTCATCACATAGTCAACTCTGACCCGCAATCAGTCACACCAGTTACTATTCTCTTTCTGTGGCTCACTGTGAAGACCATTCCCCAATTTGTATGGGAAGCTTCACAAAAAAACACCCATACTGACTGGATAAATACCAAGAAAAATCCTTCATGTGGGTGAAACATACCTTAAATAACTCCCTCATTTGAGCCAGTGCAGCAAAAAAAAGAAGCCTGTTCAATTAAATGAAACCACTGAGCCAGCAATGATAAACTGAAACAATCTGGAAGCAAATGTTGCCCTATTACCAAAATCAAAGAGCTCATTAGAAAGGCAAAGCAAAGCAAAGACTTCAGAGTTAGAGCAGATTAGCTGAAAAATGTGACAATGATTACAGAAAAGGTGATGATGATGATGATGATGATGATGATGATGATGATGATGATGATGATGATGATGTTAAAATAAACGGTGGATCAAACAGATGAGTGTGTGAGCGAGCCATGAAACAGTTAACAGATTCACAGAACTGGAGACCACAGAACCAAGTTGAAAAGGGAACCTGGCCAAAAAGAGGGGGAGGGAGGTGCTGGAGAGAGGGAGAGACAGGTACAAAGCAGAGGAGGTGGAGGAGGTGGTGGAGGTGGAGGAGGAAGAAGAGGAGGGGTGGGGTGGGGTGGGGGGGGCAAGCAGTGTAAGAGCAGATTATTGCCTCACACTGGAGTTTTGGAGTCCACAGGGCTCCTGGGACCATGTCGACATCAATCACAACTGTGTGGCACATGTGCATGAGTGTGTGCGGATGACTGGGTTAATGTGTACGAGAGCGTGTGAGTCACTGCGATCTGGTGATGCCGTACGTGTGAGTGATCCTCGGCACAGACACTACCCATGCTGACTGGACACACTGGTCAGCCTCTTTCTGGGAATCAGAAACCTGCGCTGGTGATGAAGCTGTTGCTTATCACAGCACAAAAATGGTTAGAAAGACACTGGCGAGTAAAAAGGTCAGAAAGTGCTGCTGAAACACACGCCGTCAGGGAACGATTTCACTCATGCTGAAACAAAACGGTCGTTAAAGTACAGGCAAGACACGACCTTGGAAATCAGCAGGACCCAAGGCAGTGCTCGCACACATGCTGAAATTAGTGGTGAGCAGGGAAACTGTGCATGTATATGTATGAATGTGTGTGTGTGTGTGTGTGTGTGTGTGTGTGTGTGTTGCTAAATCTCTTAACAAACACACTGAGGAAAAAAAAAAGGAAATGAGCCTGTACCACATGGACCAAAGTGATCAATCTGAGATCAATTTGATTAACGACAGCTTTCTGGCCAATGGGATGGAACGACAAACTGAGGCCAAAAAAAGGAGGGAAAGACACATCTCATGAGGGAAAAGATGGACGTCAACACACTGTATCAAGTAACGGGTCACAGGCGAGAGCAGATTGCTGGGAATGATGAAAAGTACCAAAGAAAAAAGAAAAAAAAAACATCTCAGAAACTCTGTGCTTTTTCTGCGAATACAGGATTAAGAGTAGCCAAAGGGAGAGATTTAGCACAGTCATCCGGAAAAAAATAGCAAGTGCAAAAGGACGGATTACCAGTATATATACAGGAATGATTACTGTCGTTCCACAGTGAGGACACAACAAAAACGCCTTTCCATCTGGGACTTTGACTTCATTCTGATTCTCGGTGAAAGGCTTTGCTGCTGTAATTATGGCCTTTCTGAGAACAGTAAATGCTGTAGTTTGAACCACAGGGGAGATCAGGAGGGAAACAGGGGTTTTGAATGTAAGCTTGTGAGAGAATATTTAGATATCTGGGTCTTTCAAACCAAGACCAGACATGTGTTTGCTCACCAGAGAGAGAGAGAGGGAGAGAGAGCACTAATTGATTCGGATGGCGTCATTTGGTGTGATTGAGCGCCCTGGTGTGTGATTGAGTGATTGTCTGCCAGGAGTCTCTGTTTGTGCTTGCCCGTCCATGTGTGTGCATGTGTGTGTGTGTGTGTGTGTGTGTCAGCAGGCGTGTTTATGGGTGGTTGCATGTAGAAGTTCATTTGTGGTGTGTAAACCTAACCCTTTTCATACCCCGAGCCATTTCACCCCAGCCATCATCAACCATAATTCTAATTGACCCCCACTTATGCCGAACGGCCCCTAACCCCAACAATTTCAGCTCCAATTTCTCCTCCCTGAGCAATCCATCTCTCTCCCACAGCGTGACCCACTGGGCAGGTCTCAAGTTACCTCCTCTGTCTCTGTCATCTACCATTATTACTCGTCTTACCACTTGAAATATGAACACCCCTATGTCTCCGTGACAGCCACGTAAACCCCATGTGATATCTCTTGATTTAGGAGATATTGTAACCTCCCACTGCACACTGAGGTTAGGGCTCTGTGTCAGATGGGGAGGATATTGCAACAGATATTTCAACACGTTGTGCTGTGGCTCGGCCCGTAAAAATCAACACAAAAAATATAACCCTTGCTTGGGACACATTTAAGTTCTCCCCTGAAGAATTTAATCTCGTGAATGAAAGGCATTCGGAAATAACAGAAAACACAGATTCACAGACTTCTGACAAAGAAAGTAACTCAGTAAGAAAAAAAAACTGTACATAAAGAGTCCAAAGAAGGAGATGCACCAAATGAAACTGGAAAAACTGACCTCCACATAAAAAATGTTTAAAAAAGATGACCGTAGGTCCCTGCACTTCTCTGTCCATGAAACTCCCAACATTCACCCACATAAAAGGAGCTTTCTTCCCTGCAGAGACTGTGCTGGTGAAACAGCTCATTCACTTCACAAACATAAATAGATGACATAACCTGATGTAACTAATCCAGCAGCACAGGTACACAGATTGCGAAACGGATTAAATCTGAACAGGTTAGACAAAGTATTACAGGTAAACAGCACCATAATAACAGGTCCGAGCACAGAAAGGCAGAGAGAGGGAGGGGGAGGGAGGGGGAGAGAAAGACTCTCTCTAACTATCTTGCATTATCATCACAACAACAGCCAGTTGCTTCCATCACAAATTCATCACAACAAGCTCTCTGCATATGCATGAGGTGCAACTGCTCCAATCCGATGCATCTGAATATGGATCATTATCATCTGCACCGCTCCGAGAATTAGGTTAAAAGTTCGTTTATGTTTAAGATGCCAAACAGGCTTGGTTAAGCGTTGATAAATAAAGAAGTGAGTGCAACGGGTGGGTTCAAGAGCACTGAATTAAAATCGAGAAGGTACAAATTAAAAGAGATATTTACTTTGGGTTCGTGCTGTTCCAGTAGACACTGTGCCGCTCCGCTGAAGCAAACCAGGCGCAGACGCTCACAACGAAGCCTACAACCCAAACCAAATCCATGGTGGAGAGGAGGCGTGCAGAGAGGAGACACAACTCAGGTAGGTTGTGCAAAAAAAAAAAAAAAGTTTACCGAGAAGAGATGGTCCGCGCACCTGGAGACTGCACGCTCACAGAAGCACTTTACGCACGCTTACGCTCTAAAAGAAAAAAAAAGCAAGTAGATTCGTAGAGGAATGAAAACTGCAGAGAGATCAGGTTAACTCGACAAATCCGTGGTGAATGAAAGCTTGAGCTGCGTGGAGGCTGGTTTTGTGAAACGCCCACAGCCGCGAGCCCCGCCTCCTGCACCAGAGGAGACCAATCAGAGGGCTGTCCGAGAGACGCGAGCTTTCTCCGCATGTACTGTGAGTACAGTGTCTGGATGAGTCTGTATCACATTTTGAAAACAATGACTGTGATTTCTATGTCAGGATTTTTGCAATATCATATTCGCAGGCACCTGTTGAACGTGTGTTTGTTGCAGTAACCTCATCATACTCTATGGTAATCTCCGAACATAGTAAAATGTTACACTTCCACTATCCTACAATTGCCTATACTTAATATAATTTCAGAATAGCTACAACCATTAATACGTATTAATTGCCTGTATTATTTTTGCAGGAAGGTTATAAACAAGTATAATATATAGTATAATATCATCATTCATTCATGTGATCAATTTTTGATGATATTTGCTTCTATGTTGCCTATAAATGAAAGTCCCACAGGAGAGACACATAAAAAATACCTGCAGAGTTAATTAAACAGCTCATTGATACATTGTAAATGAGACATTACAGGCTGCAAAACATTATTTTCTTGTATTTGTTGCAAGGTTATTATGTTGTGCAGTTGCTCCAGGCTTTTTTGTCCACCCTTGAGTGTGCTCTAGCTGTAAAGTTGTTCTCCACAGTGCTTATCTATCATTTGAGCGCACCACCCTTTACTTGAGTACTGGTTGGGCAACATCTGGTGTGTTTGCACAGTGATTTCTTGCAGTGAAGTTGGTATTTTTATCTTACAGGTTTTTCTACAACTCTTTTGTGTGAGCACAGGCACATTAGTGACCCCTATCACAATATGCAAATCTTTATTCTAAGGGTATTCATTTGTAATATTAACATGGAAATTTTTAAAGTTAACACTGAGTCTTAGATGAAATGTAAAGAAAACCTTGATAGCCAAAGACAAAGATTGTACCTTCAGCTGGAGGCATATAACCTCCATGCTGTCAGATGCATTGCAAATCCTGATTCTCATTTTCTGTTCCATTGACATGGATAATCTGGACCGCGAGCTGCTTGTTCAGCCCAGTGAGCCACATTGCCAGAGGGGGTTTTCAAGCCTGCTTCTGCTTGACTGGCACTTTATTTGCTGTGTCTGCTTTGCAGCATAACAGCTTTCAAAGGTATCACAGCAAACAACAAAAACCAAAAGGTAAGTAAGAGGAAGGCAAACCATTCCCGATAGCGAATTCAAACAGCTAATATTGCACAGAGTTGTGGAGGGTTGACTCCATCTCAGGACATGGATGGGATTCAGGGAAGTGATCAGATAAACTCTGCAGGGATTTGCTTCATATTTAAGAAAGAAGCAAAGGAATGCGGAGAGGGCAGGATACACTCCTGATGTAATCACAATGTAAGACTTAATCTGAAAGGTATCCTATTCCACAGTGAAAGGAGAGTGAAATAAATTGAGCACCCTTACAGAATATGAGGCCCTTTGCAGATTTACATTTTGAGATGTTGTGTTTTTTACGGTACGAGTACCTAGTAGTTATTATTCTACATTATTAACTGACTCATGGGTGCCTTCATTTGGTCTTTATTTTGATGTCACCTACACACCTGTCGAGTTTTGTGACTGTATCTTGCACAGCTGTGATGCTATTGCACTGACAAAATCCAACCACAGATGTAAACACCTGCCAAAGTATTCAAAACCGCCTCTGTGGTAGTTCTTGCTATACACACACACACACACACACACACACACGGTGAAAACAATATCAGTCACGCTCTTGCAGCAGGTAAGAATACATGAAATTTTAGAAGGTTGAGACTTCCCCAGTAGGTCTGATAGGTTCACAAGATAGTGAAAGTGTCAGCTAGACTGTTGATTGCACATCATCAGCTTATCTGACAGTTTGTCACACTGCTGCTACTCCCACTCATCTGGTGTTCCAAGCAGATTAAAGCATCTCCTAATATCTGGTTTGCATCTCCTCCTTAACCCAGGTCGGACTCTGTGCTCTCTTGTCCTTATATTTGAATAATCACCTCTACGAGGCACCCACGCTCCCATTTCACCAACCAGTTTATATGAACTCTTTATTTTTGTTATTTCCTTTCCGCAGCAGAAGATCCAGACTCAAGTGGAATCCGCTGTATATTACAGAAAATATATTCTGCGTTCAGTGGCTTGAGTGTTCACAGTTTATGCAATCTGCATTTAAAAATTCTGTCTAAACTGACAAACTATTTCAGATCTAACAGTGCAAACACAGAAAGGCACATATACATGGTAATTGTGTGCTACTCGGTGTCAAGCAGGTCATCCCAAATAATGTGCTTTGTATTCATGAAGAGTGCTCATCCCGGTGGATCAATTTTTTAGAGCCCAATTGTTTTTTCTGGCTCGGTGGGAAGATAAGAGGGTGAGAGGGACTGCCGACATAATTGTCATTTGCATTGCAATCGAAAACTGTTGTGGAAAAGCTTTCACCACGCCGCAGACGTTTATGTCATAACTCTATCAGGAACCAAAATGAGTAGGCCTTTAATTTCATACCAACCTGAAACACTAAATGAGTAAATAGAAAGATGAAGTGGAACAAAAGTGCAGCTCAGCCCTGATATATGTTGTTTTTTTCACAGCAGAAAGACAGACAGATGCACAAACACACACGCATGGATCTCTCCTGGCTTGCACGTCCACATAGAAACAAACGCAGACGCACACACACACATAAACACATCCCTATTCACCTCAAATCCTGACGGAATTTGCACCGAGCCTGTTCTGCGGCATGAAAATGAGATATAGGAAAATGATAGGGAAAACTGTTTCATGTAGGCATGGGAACTTCACTGTCCATAATTTGTTTTTTTCAACCATTTCAACCAGAGTAATTAGATGATGTCATGGAGTTGCACTTTCCGTGATCCTGAAAAGAGAAATCAAAATACAGGATTTTTCCCACTTAAATCTATGAAAACTATAAAAATATCTACGTCTGTTCAGGATCAACCTACACTTTGTGTCTGGGGAAGTTCTTATAACCCGACACCTGATTTTAACTGTGTTTAACTTGTCCTCAGACCATGTATAATCTGTTCTTTCAGCTAATCTCAACCTGAGCAGGTCTTAACAGATATGCAGTGAGTTGCCTTCTGCCGAGGCTTGTTGCAACTTTCTTTCTTCTTGCTCTCCAACATGGCCATTAAAGGAGGTGTGTGGGCCCTTCACTGTGAATACAAATGAGAGGTTTAACGACAGAATGTCATCATGTTCCCATCCCCAAACAACATCCCAAAGCCCAGAGGTGCCCAGTCCAGTGTGAGTCTCAGGCTACATCCACACTAATACCTTTTTTTATCTTAAAACGAAAACGATCTCCACCCAGAAGAGCGAATTAGCTCCGTATCAGAAATCACCTCTGTCCATACTAAACACCTGAAAACACATATCACAAAGCAAAGACAACAAGGTCAGCAATGCTTGTTATTCATTATCCATGTTGCATTCACTGCTGGTAGTCGTGACTGATAAGTTCAAGTTTTCAAACTAAAATGGGGCCAACGCTGCTCCAGAAGTCTCGTAAATGTCGCAAAAGTGATGCTTTTTAAAACTACAAGGTATCAGTGTGGATGTAGCCTCACTACATTGGCCTCCTTTGGTTTGTGTCTGCTATTGTTAGTCAATGCAGCTCCTGTGCAGGAGTTGTTCCTGAACCCATGAGCTCTGTCTTTGCAAACAATTGAAGTGTTTCCTGTAATTAGCATTGCATAGGTTTACCTCCTCTTATGAAATAGAGATTCAACAAAGACAGCGTAACCATCCTATCCTCAGTAGTTTGCCTGTGGAAAACAAGTTTGTTCATGGCCTTGCTGATGTTTCTTTGACTTCCCCTGAGGCAATAGAAAGCACAGTTAATGATTAGGTGGAGCAATTTTAAAGCAAAACAAAGGTAATCAGTGAGTAACCCCAGCAAAGTAAAGAGATGAAGTGGTAAGTGCCACCTCTTAATTAGCTGTGGTTAATTATCAGATGTAAACAACGAGGTGGTTGATTATGCGTAGCCGTATCCAATGATCAGTGTGTTATCTGAAAGGTTGGAGCTCAGGTAAGACTATTAAGATGACATCTTAGTGAGTGGCCTTGCTGATAGTCAGGCAGTCACTGTGCTTAGACATTTGGGAAAGCACACACACACACACACACACACACACACTCAGACGCACCCACACACAGACACACAGACACACAAATATGTAAGCCTGCATACCCACCATACACGCCAAACTGAGAGACAAAGAGCAGCTGAGAAGGAGGCGGATGAGGAGGAGGAGGATTGAGGAGAAATGCAAACACAATGTTAGATAACAAGAGTGTAAGACCAAGAATGAAAGCAAAAGTGAGGAGGCGTGCGAGATGAGAGTGAAGAGCTTAAAAAAGATGTACTTAAGAGGGACAATATGCAAAGTAAAAAGATGCCGAGGAAATAGAGGGAAGGAGGGATATACCATGAAGCAACAATAATAAACCTTTTTTCACAGATAAAGACACATGGAAACCTTTGGGCCAGTAATTAGCAAACATGGCACCTTTACTGACCTGTAATTATGGCTGCTTCCCCTTGGGCAAATTGAAATTTTAGAGGTGCAATGCATCATTTCCCTTAGCCTGTCAAAATCTAGTAAGTGGTGTCTGAGATATTGAAGGTGACTCGCAGATAAACAAAAGAACAAGGCAGGGCCCTCTCCGGGGAAACGAAGAGTCCGCCTCATCCATCCCTTTCAGTCTGAAGCAGTGCAAAATCTACATGTGTGACACAAATCTACAGGAAGTTTAATAACGAGGAGGAAGGATACGAAGGAGGACGGTTTAAAATAAAAGGTGAAAAGAGACTTAGGGTGTAAACATAAATAAATTTGAGGCGAAAGCGAGTGCAGAGGAGAAGCGGAAGGAGGGACGGATGCCAAATGAATACGAGGGGGCCG